TCCCCCCCCCCCCCCCCTCCAAAGGTTTAGACCACTGCAAAAGTTCTGAAAAAACGGAACATTTATTTAAACTCTATACATAAATATTTTTTTCGATCTAACAACATTAGGCGACTTAAAAATGCCTTTTGTGGTTGTAACTTTTCTTCAAACCTCGTCCTAAAATACGTGAAATAACGTTCTAATGTCTAGAAATTCAAAATTTTCCTCGTGCCTACGGCGCTCGCATTCGATATTCATAAAAATTTTGCCCCCCCCCCCTCCAAAGGTTTAGACCACTGCAAAAGTTCTGAAAAAACTGAACGTTTATTTAAACTCTATACATAAATATTTTTTCGATCTAACAACATTAGGCGACTTAAAAATGCCTTTTTGTGGTTGTAACTTTTCTTCAAACCTTGTCCTAAAATACGTGAAATAGCGTTCTAATGAATTTAAAAATTCAAAATTTTCCTCGCGCCTACGGCGCTCGCATTCGAAATCCATGGCGCTTTCCCCCCCCCCCCCTTCTGAAAGTTTAGACCACTGCAAAAGTTCTGAAAAACTGAACGTTTATTTAAACTCTTGGAATGCTATCCTCGTCTTACCGTCTATGCGCTTTAAATAGTTGGCTTTTTTTACCAAACACAAATACTACAAAAGTCGGTCCCAGAACATAGAACACCCCCCAAATTTTTTTCGAATGTGCGCCCCTGCAACTACATTCATGTGAGACTCTTGGCGTGTTTATGACAGACAAGGTGTTTAAAGCAATGGACTCAAAAGAACTCACAGTCATATAGTATTGCTGGATTTGTCAAAAGCGTTTGACAGTATAGATCACCGCCAACTCTTAACAAAGCTAAAAGCATTAGGCCTAAGCCTTGGCGCCTTAGAATGGTTCAAAAGTTACTTGACCGGAAGGACGCAGCAGGTGAAGATTGGCTCCGTTGTGTCAGAACCAGGTCATATCACTCATGGTGTACCGCAAGGTTCGATATTTGGACCTGCTTTGTTCAATATATATTTGAATGATTTGCCCACCATCCCGAATTTCGGTGACTTAGAATCGTACGTAGATGATTCAAAATTGTATCTTTCGTTTCCCATCAAGAATGTTAATGAAGTTATGCGGAATATCAATAAAGACCTGTCAAAAATCACATGCAGCATGGTGCTGTCACAATAGCCTACTAATTAATCCAGACAAGAGCAAAGTGTTAGGCTAGGGACACACAAAATATTGCAACGATTACCGGATGACTTTTATGTGACATTACTTGAGAAAAGGATTACTCCCACTAACACTGTTTCTACTTGTATTGCGAGCTTATGTCAGATAAACAGGGTTGAACATCTTTTTGACCCTAAGATTTTGGAAAACGTCATCTCGTCCCTAGTATTTTCCAAATTGTATTATTGCTCAAACGTATGGTCCAGTACGACTAAGAAGAACATAGAAAAACTATAAAAGTGCAAAACTTCGCGGCGATAATAATCACAGGAACACAAAAATATGAGCATATTACTCCAATACTCAAACAACTGAATTGGCTACCTGTCCCAGACATGTTAAAATACTTTGTTGGCGTTCTAACGTTCAAATGTTTGAATGGACTAGCCCCTATCTCAATTCATATTTTCAGGAGAGATTATCTTTACACGATAGAAACACCAGAAATAAACAAAAACTAAACATTCCAGCTTATAGATCGGCGGCCGGACAACGAACATTTGAATACCGAGCAGTATCCCTGTGGAACTCTCTACCTAGTAATATCACTGTACATGACAATTGTAAAGACTTTAAAAGTAATTTTTATAACTATCTGCTTGAACTTTTTCTTTTAAAATCTTAATGAACTTATCTAATTTTAACGATTTTAAACTGTAAATATACAATAGAATAATTTAGATATAATTTACATGTATATTAATCTGAAAAACCAAATGTTTGGAGAATTAATTAATAATAATAATCCCTGTGCAATCATCCATAGGAATGCTCAACAGACAATGTGACACAAAGGCCCAATGGGAATGAACGACTTAGCCTGCACACAGACGTAGTATTTCGTCGCTTGGCGTAAGAACTACGTCTGTGAGCAGGCTATGAACGACTGGGAATGAGTCAGCAAATTTCCTTGAAAATTCCGAAAATCACATTTTTTCTACAGGACCGGTTCATGAATCTAAGTATTATTTTGCAGTAATTATGCGATTTTGATTGGTTAACTTTAATTAATTTATACCACAGGGCACTGAAAGAGGTTCAGACATGACTTCCACTACCACCCACAGGTTTAATTAATACACACTTGATTTGTTTAATCGGGTAGTTAAATGCATCGGATTGGTTAACGGTAACGTATCCGGAAGCCAAAATCTGAACCACTCTAAAATTAATGCAGGTTCCACCGAGGTCAGTAGTTCCACCGCATGAGAATTTGACAATGGCACTCCTTGCGCACTGGGATTAATTTTGCAAACAAAATATGTCCACTCCGCCATCAACACTCAAGTTAAACGTCCTGGTTACTGGCCAGCCTCGTCCCCAGGCGCTTTGATTTGCTGCGCCGTATCGTGAGGAATAGAAATTTGGACGGGGGCCGTCCACTGCTTGCGTCGGAACCCGCGCGTCTGAGTTGGAGCCTGAGGACGAGGCTGGTTACTGGCTAGAAATAACCCTATTTGGGTTTACTTAATATTCCTGGTATACCACGTTAACCCAAGTTATAGTGTTATTTTACTGGAAATATTAACCAGTGAGAGTATTCTTACAACTTTTAGAGTGCAGCCATACAATACGCGTAAGACCGATCTTTTTCTGGGCGGCTCTGTCTCCTTCAAGAACAAATTGTTCTTAATACGGAATGCAAATTAATAAAGACACATGCATAGTTACACAATTGTAAGTAAAATATAATGTAAATATTTTGATTCACATTTTTTACGTTACTTTAGATCTAATACTAAATTACTAATATATATTTATTAACTATATTGATAAAATACAGTCGCAACTATATACTACCAGTTTTGTCGCTTCACACCAAGGCAAATGTTCACCAAATATACATATTGTTTAACACACAGAACTAATACTAAAAGAAATATAATACTAAAAGAAATATAATACTAAAATTTATTACTTACATTTGTATATGAATTTATTAAAATACTGTTGAGTGTTGTGAACCAGAATAACGTCGTATAAGTACGATCCTATAACTACGGATTCTTATTCATGTTTGTGAACAAAATGTAGTGGCGAACACTCGGGAGGTGCAATTTTGAGGACTGGTATTTGCAGCAACTCAAGAGCGGTAATCATCAATATTTTGCCAAGTAATTCTGGCACTGTTCAGTAATTTTGTTAATAACAACGTTAATATTCACAACTAACCTACTTTTATAACATATTAAATAGTCTAATCAATACACGCTTCTGGAAAGTACAGTACGTCATCTTGGCCATATAACCTCGTTTTTGTGATTGACACGTTATGCTTTAACTAATATCGCGTCCACGAAAATGAGGTTCTATATAGCCAAAGTTCCAGAAAGTTGTAGCAGACTAAACATCTAGCTCGTTCCAATTCACTCAATTTAACATATACATACACCATTATATTAAATTGCAATTTCAAACTTTTTATGTCCGTATTTAACATGCTAATTCATATACCTCATTTTTATATGTACAGCTTATATATATAATTATTAATAGAGGCTACTGAGTGTAGACTTTGAGTCTTTGGTCAAATAATTAAATTGAATTAAGAATTGAATACATTTGCACAGTTTGAAATTGCATTTCAATATAGTGGTCAACTTATTTTTAATATATAGTAAACCTCAATTATTTGAGGATATAGTTAAAATATTTGTCATCTTACAATATATAATAATTTTATAGGTATATATATATAATATTATATAAATTTTCAAACACTCATTAATAATTCATAAGCTTATTGGCAAATCATGTATACCATAATATGCATGTCACGTGCAGTGGCTTTAAACCTGATAAAACATTCCTAATTAGTATTCTTTATATAAAGAATACAAATAAGGTAGTATCTATTGTAGTCGTGTGATTGTGTTAGTATATATGAATTTGTAGTCGTGTTTGAAGCCGTTTAATAAACTCGCAGGTCGTGTTTTATTAGGTCTAAAGCCACTCAACGCTGCGCGCTCGTGACTTTAAACCTAATATTAATAAAACATTCCTGCTCGTTTATTAAACAGTACATAATATATATTCACTATGAAACAGGAGTATTAATATTCCCCACTGCTAAAATTAATCTTTTGATGGCAACCATCCACTGTTTAACCTAAAGAGAAGGATCATTTGTATTATGTCGAATTAAGCTACCATCAACCATGTAAAGGTGACTTTTCCATATAAATGTATGAAAATGACGTCACAGAATAATTTTCGTCACAGAAAAATGACGTCACAGAATAATTTCCGTACACATCAGAATAATTTCCATATACAATAATTTCCGTTCGAAACTGATTCATCAGAATAATTTCCGTTAGTTCGAAACTTTGTATCTTTTTTGTACAGAATCAAAAAAGTTCCCCAACATCAGAATTATTTTTGCGCAAAAGTAATTTCTCAACGTATATATAAATCTAATACCTAGTTACTTTTGTTATACTGTATGCTAGGTATATACAAGTTATCCAAAGTAGCCAAAGTAGCCAAAGTAGGGGACGAGCCAATCATGAAAAGAAGAATTGGCTTATTTGCCCCATTTTACAAAAATGTTACTGTATATGTCAGGTTAGGACTTAAAGTATATGCGATTGGGTGGTTTGTAGTCATAAATTTGGTTAATTTGGAAATTACTGTAAGGCTTTTTACCATTCATTTACATTACTAAAGCCAGAGTGCCATGTGATTTTACTCTTGAAAAAGTCATTGGGCTTCGTATCTGTGTCTGTAGTCTGTATACAGGAACAGATCAAAGCCAGAATTTAACATGTTTCCAAATGAGGTCTTTAAATCATGCAGCATGGTTATCACTTGGTCGCATTAAAGAATTAGAACTACACAGTGCTGTTATAACTGTTTTACCCTCAATATTGTACATGATCGCACTATATTTATTTAGTTTAATATTATAGTTTATACTGTGCTATAAATAACAGCAAAATTTTAAAATTAGTTCTAGTGTGAATCAATCAATACCTACCTCTCCAACATAGTCTACCATAAGTTTAAGATGAAGTTTATGAGCAGTTTCAGTATCACCATCCAACAGTACTAGAATTGAAAAGCAACAAACGAGTAAATAAAAGTGTGGTCTCTTTAGAAGTTGTATTTTGTAAATATGTACTGTTGACAAATCATTAATCCTTTGTTCTTGTTATAGACACATGTGGGTATACTGTATGTAGTTCATTGTGGTCCACCTTCTAATTGTTGCTGGAAATGCAGAAAACTGATCTTGTGTTTTCATTACATTACCTTTAGTCAATAACTTCATAGTTATTTGAACAGGAACAGACAGTTTCCCATCAATCCATAGTTGTTTCATGATTCCCACTTTCTTTTTAACATCTTCTACCTCTCGTGCCTGCAAAAGACAAAACATTTTGAAAAACATTTTGTGAATGAAAACGTTTCATGATTAAATATTATTACTACTAAAAACAAATGATGCTATTTTCTCTTTTTACATTCAATAAGACAGCAAACAAAACAAGGTGGAGATCACCAAGCAGCATACAATGTATTGAAAACAGGTAAACAGTAGTACTACAGTATTTCTTTGCAGAAAAAACTCATTATGAACAAAAATTATCAAAGAATAATACATGGGTGCGCGGAAATACCAGATTTATATATTTCGAGTGTTGAACATGATATCATGTTCAACATGAGAAATAAATATGGTCTTTCCAAGCATCCATGTATTTTTCTGTTTATTATATAAAGGACAGTCTTTGAAAAGCGATAATTTTTACAGAAAAGTGATAATTAAAAAGCGATAATTTTCACATGTGAGATTTTCAGTTTTATCAGTGCTTGAAATCTCTATAAAGTACTATATTACTTTATATACTAAAATGAATTAAATACCTTCAAAATATTACTACATTTTATAATTATTTCTTCAATAGCTGCAACTGTCACTTTCATTCCTTCTTCACTATCAAAATCTTCACTGTTGTGTCGACTGGCATGTTCAGAGTGATATCCATTATCAGGGGTTGAGCTTCTTGGTGTACTGGATGCACTGTGACCACTTGTTGGTGTTGATACTGGTGATCTATTCATACTTGGTGCTAGAACTGGAGAGACAACTGGGGAATTTCTACCACTACCATTCACAGGTGGTGGTGTGTAATGTTTGTGACCATTGCCATTCTGATAAGCCCTGTTAAGTATAGGACTTCTTTTTCCCACAGTACTCATAAGTAATGTTGCACCACTGTCAGCACTAGTTGGAGATGGTGTAAAAATTAAAGTACCTTGTTTAACCATGTTTGTACTTTGAAAACTAGGCATCTGATCGGTGTTTGCACTGTCAACAGTTTGGGGAAAAGTGTCTGGTGAAATAACAGGATTTGACCGAACATGGCTCGTATCTAAAGCACTAGAAATTGGTACCATATTGAAACTGCTTGGAAAGGAAAACAGTGGTTTACCAAGATTTGATGGTGGTTCTGTTGTTACTGGCGGGAGCTGTGTTGGTGGGGTAGTGCCAGATTTGTGAGCCAGGGGGTGGATGATACTAGGATCTGATTCCAATGTAGCACCCACTGGTGAAAAAATCTTGGGTGGAGCAGACTTTGTGGAAGGAACTTGCACATTATTGCCACATGGTGGCTGACCTGGGATACAAGGTGGAATCAAACCATAACCTTTAGCATCAGGTAATAATGGTGGTGTATATGTGCCACTAGAATGTCTACTATGGCAAGGAGAGTCAGGTGGTACATTTGGTGGAGTATGTTGGGATTGTGGTTGTTGGCACAGAGTAAGGTTTGATAAACCTGTTTATTGAAAATAAGAAAAAAATTAGGACTTTAAGACAGAACATGTATGTTTGGTACTTGAATTAAGCTTGCTGCACATGCAAAAAAACCTACTGCCTCATGTGCAGTTAGCTCAGCTATGTATTTTCACCACACACATTGTGAAAGCAATGTCATTGATGGGATTGTTACCACAGAATAAGGCACACAGAACGTCGACTCAAGTAACCGCTGCCACGCCATGATTCATCGTCAAAATGCTGATGCCATGGTCCTAGCCAGTGCGTGTTTGAGAGGCATCCCCCTTGGACGTCCACCATTTTGAATATTATCAGGGGGGTGAATGCCTCTCAAACACGCACTGGCTAGGACCATGGTGTCAGCATTTGATGACGAATTACGGATTACGCCAAAATCATAGGAAAATCACAGGAAAAACCAAGAAGTCTGCCTTCTGTGTTGTTACCCTCCATTGTCACGATGTGAAGAGACTATGGCTTGTCATTGGTTAGTTAATTCAAGCAGCTCAGCACTGAGGGAAAGTACATTTATTATGCCGAGGGGGGGGGATGAAGATGTTAAGGGGGGGATGAAGATGTTAAGGGGGGGGCTCCGAAATATTTTCTGGCATTAAAGGGGGGGCTCTGAAAGTTCTTGATATACTGAAGGGGGGGGCTCTAAACTTTTCAAAGGTTTGACCCCAGCAAATTAAAGTTAAAATTTTTACATTTTCAGGTAAAATTTGCATAATAAAGTAATTATTTTTGTGAAATGATAACCATTTTTGTAAAATACAGTCAATTTACATGCAAGTTGTTTGCGAAATTTGCTTTAGAAAACGCCAGAAATACCCCCGTTTCTCCCGTAGAATTCCGGATTGTACTCCTTCGATTCCAAATTCTAGAGGGGCATTGAAAATTTTAAAAACTTGGAGGGGGGGGCATCGAAATTTATCGATAACCTCAACAGGGGCCCTGTAAAAATATGAGTTTTTTTCAAGACATCTTCATCCCCCTCCCTCGGTGTAATAAATGTACTTTCCCTAAGCCACAACATCCACATATGTTGAGGTGAAAAATATCAAACACAATATATATTTTCCTCAAGGCCTTGAGAGAAACATGCTGAGCCAGCTAGTCATCATGCAAGGCATGCGCAGTTAGCTCAGCAAGTTTCTCTTGTGTGCAGCCATAGATGATAGATAATATCAGATGAATCACTCAGCCAAAATTGTGTCCGCGATTTTTTATGAACACGCATTGGCCACCATTTTGGCAGTAAGTATAATTCACACATTTTGGCAGTAAGCGCCATTTTGGCAGTAAGTGTTGCACGCGTCATAGACTCGCGAAAATCGCGGACACGAAAATCATAGGGATAGATACACAGTGATTGATCTGGTATAATCTATCATCTGTGGTGCAGCAGGCTTTAGATTGTGAATAAAATCATTTGGCATTAGACACTTTGGGTAACACACTAATACAGTTCATTTTAAATGTCAACAGGAAAGGCATTTAATATTTATTAAGAAGTAACTAACATGTCTCCTGTATTGTGTACCAGAGCGAATAAATTAAAGAAAGTATGTCTGGATTGCACGTTGTCATAATTAACAGGTCAGGCCAAGACAGAAAGTTGTCAAATGTTAAAATTCTAATAATCAACAGACATCGCGACTCTAGACGATCATTAAAACAACCATCCACTACAGACTATAAATATTTTTGAAAAGAATAATCTAGCTTTTTACTTATTATCATCCTAGTGTGTGGGGGCGTCTTATAGTAAACCGTAACTATGAAACACATAAACACTAGATCAACGCAAATATTCTTGTGAGGGTAATATTGTCTCAAAATTCAGAAGTATAAAGAATCATTTCGTACCGTTAGATAAATTATTTCCTTGCTTATATAAATTTGGTGGGCTTTGATTTAGCGGAGATGTTACTCTTCGACCTGTCAAGGCTTCTTGATGCGATACTCGTTTTCTTAGGTCTAGTTTTGGTCCTTTCTTTGAGCCAGTCAATGTATTGAATGATATTGTTGGAGGGTCATTCCATCCGCGTTCTGAGTCGCCATTGTAAGCAATCACACCAGATGCTATGAAAAACAAATATAAATGAGGAGTTGGTACACGTCTGTGCCGGACTTTATACATCAATTATTCAATCAACAAAACGCAGTATTCTCATGTTTTGATTAACACACAAACCAAAGATTCTGAAATAACATAAAATTCTACTCATTTATATATTGAAATGTATCGATCAGTAATTCTATTTCTCATTTTGACATCAAAACATTGTCTTGTGTATACGAGAATATTGTCTGATCTATTAAAAGTGAACCTAAAAGTAAGAAATCGTTTTGCAGTATTCAGAGAAGAAATCACAAAAATCCCCGTTAAAGCCTCTCAAAGATCATTTGTTACTCTAAAGTTGGTTCTAATTACCGTGGGACATTTGTGGCGAATTATTTTTCTTTGCGGACTTTAAATACCGGCGAACGAAACGTAGTTCATCCCCAGTTCATATACCATCGCAGAAATATATTATATAGATCAACAATTTATTATTTACAAATCAAAATATTACCAATTCTCTAACGTAACAGCATAAACAAATATATACAAACCTAAAGGCTCGGTAGGTCCCATCATAATCCGATCTTTTAGAAAACAAAAATGTCTCTAAATACAATATGGCGCTGCTTCCTTTATGTCTTTACGTGTCACATAAAGTCTGGCCACAGGGGAGTGTGACGTCAGACGGAAATAATGTCACGAAGGGTGTCGACGGTTTTACGGGGGTTGTGAAATTGCAATTTCATGGACATGGGAAGAATAAGTATTATATGTCAGTAAAATTATAAAAAGAAACGATATTGATATACATTTTTATTACGCTTTAAGCAATTCATGATTTCAGTGATTATATGTTGAATGGTTTCATTGAATACCCTAGAAAATGGCATAATTTCATGTTTCTTCTGAAATCCCTATTTTCAAACCACACGCATGACCTTCGTTCGGAAATACTCGTAATTTCCGACTATGTATTTACAAATTCAAAGTCTCTCTGGAATGAGTGCTGCAATTTCGTGCAACATATATGGAAACATATTTTTGTCCTGCTGCAGTTTGTTGCAAATATGAAACGTACATGTGTTTGTGTTGTCCATTTTCTTTATTGCTGTTACTTGGTATTTGCATTATCACAAGAGAATACTGCCAGTAAAACGCAAGGTAGGCGTCTTGGCGAGCCGACAGTATTAACTGACATGGAAATATACATGATGCTTTTTTATATTGTTATGTTTATGATATAAACATATTGCATTAAAAGGTCATGTTTAGCCACTTGCCTTATCAAAGAATTCAGAGTTTCATGATATCAACTAAAACCTATCAATATAATGAAATTATTTTACTAATATTAATATATGATATTTTGTCGTGGTCCTCGTGGCACCCTCCAGAATATACAGATCAATTTCAATAAAACTCTTGTTATAATCTTTTTTATTCAATTCAATGTTTTGGATCTGGTCAATTTTGGCCTCTGAGTCTCTGTTTTATAGGTGAAAATGTAGGATTTGCATAGGTTCTTCAAGATTCTTCCGCTTCAGTATAGTACAATATATAAACATCAGATAAAACGCTAGCTTGGCAAACTTTTTATAAACAGTATTTAATTTTTAATTACTGTAATTTTGATGATAATGTTTTTACAGTAGGCGTTGTTGGATTAATGCCTTTAAAAGTAGTAAGTGAATGCAATAGCTAATTCGGGGACAGAGTACACTTAATATGTGGCATAATTTAATAGGTATAAGTTATTTTAATTTATGAATATACAATTGAGTATAAAAATAATTAAGATGCTCAAACTTTGGTGAATGAGCTGTTGCATTATAGTAATATATTGATAATTATCTTTCTTTGAATAACAGTTTTTGGTTGTCAAAATATGTTGGATATTTTTGGTATTGACGACAACACTGTAAACAGTTGTTAATGTTGATCATGTGAGATATGATATACTGAGCCTATCAACAGCTGTTGATCTGGAAAATATAAAGCAAATTGACAGACATTTAATTAGAGTGGGAGGTGAAAGGCCAGACTGAATTTGAGGGTGTATTTTCCGAAAGATCTTCGGCGCAGAACAGCGACTCGAACAAAAATTGGCGCAACTTTTTTGGCGCAGATTGATCGCAAATATTGATTTGGCGCAGCAATTTGGCGCAGAATGAACCAAAAGATCAATTTGGCAAAGATTTGATGAAGCAATTGAGCATTTATGTAATAGTATATTTGAAATTATGATTTGAGAAGAAGGAAAAGCCAAATTTCGAAAATTCGGTGAAAATTTCGGATATTTTCGAAAACCGCATATTTTTTCGCGACAATTTTCTTGGCGCAGGTTTTGGCGCAGCTTTACATGAATTCGAAAAATCTTCGGCACAGAAAAATTGAGAGCTTCACCCTGGGTGAAAGGGGATAACTCCCCCCCCAGACTGCAAATCCATGTACTTCATGCTAGAGATCTCTGACATGAGGTTACAAAGTTTACAGGAGCATTTTGGTGTGAGGTAACTAGAAAACAAGTGATTAGCATACCTTAATTTATGCTTAAGTTCCTTGAAATGTAGTTTACAATCTTAAAAACATGTGTACAAGATGTACCCTAGCTCCCCAATGTTTTATTACAGTTATGCTTCTGAAAAACACTGATCAGATCATTTTGAGGAAGTTTCTTAAAAAAAGATCATGACTTTCTGTCTTTGAATAAACCCTTCTGCAAAGTACTCAGGCTTGGATATAGAGCCTTGTTGCAGATGACACATTTACAAAGTCATATGGTTATATTAGATAATAAAAACTTATTTTTGTTCCGAAAAATGCCAAGACATTTTCTCATAAAGATACCCTAGTGTTAATATATGGCTGGTTAATACAGCCAGATTTTTTCGGCCTGCCCTTGGTTGCATTAACAGTGTTCCACTGTAATTAGATCCTCTGCAGGGCCTCTCAGATAGATTAGATATATTATTTAATAAGATTTTACATCGCAGCCCAAAAAAGCTGAATTGCGTAAAATTTACAAAACATATAAATTAACTGTAGGTTATAAAGTCTATAGACACATGCATATACATATACACACATACAAATACTAACAGTACACATATTTTCATACATATACATTACGATCTTTAAGGTTCAAGTTAGACTTATGTTATGAAAACAATTCATAGCAAACCTATTTCTTTAAATTATTTGACATTGCGGAAATATAAGAGTTTCTAAAACGATTGGTTCGTATAGTAGGACAATCAAATGCACATTCTCTCCTCAGGTTGTAAGTGGGATTGTGTTTGGGTGGCAGTAGTTGATAAAGCTTGTGGTCTGGGTTGGATACTATTGTCTTGAAACATTTTTCACACAGTTTCTGACGCCTGTCTTTGAGAGAACTAATATTATGTTTGTTAAGATTGTTCGTATAAGATGACCCAGGAGATATAATTGAAAGCGCTCGCTTTTGAATGCGTTCAAGATCGTTACATAAATATGCAGGTAATGAGTGGTGGAATACAGGTGCACAATACTCGAGAACTGGTCTGATGCAAGTACAATAAAATTTTAAGATATGGTCAGCAGGAATGCTTGCACGCCTAAGCAAAATTAGGAAATACAAACGTTTGTTAGCTTTCTTCACGACATATAGTTGACATGGTCAATCCATTCCAGTGAGTTAGACACCATGACACCCAATATCTTGGCACTGCTGACTAGCTCGAGTTCTTTGGAATTGATGATGATGGTCTTAAGCTGATGTTTCACTTTCTTAAAGTCAACGATCATTTCCTTACACTTGTCTTCGTTCAACTGGAGCTTGTTGTTTTTACTCCATTTCTCTACATCAGACACTGCACTCTGCATTTGGCTTTGGCTATTTCTTGGGACAACCTCGGTTAATGTCGTGTCGTCTACGTATACTTCCACGAGTGCCCTTCGGATGGTTTAAGGTCATTGATCATGAGAAGAAATAACCATGGTCCTAATTTCGTACCCTGTGGAACTCCAGATGGAACTGCACCCCATTCGGAGAAGCAATTGTTGGACGGTTTGACGCGTTGCAGCCTGTTCGATAAAAAGTCGCATACCCAGCGAACTACACTACGTGGAACATTCAGGGAAAGGATCTTTTTAACTAGAATCCGGTGATCGATGAGATCAAATGCCTTCCTGTAGTCTAGCAACACCATCCTTACCGCTGCACCTGTCCCGTCAGTGGCAGAAGCCCATGTATGAATCATGGAAATAAGGGCATGCGTAGTAGATGATTTTGGGATAGCGCCATATTGGTTGGGGTCAATGATCTCAACGACGGCAGGGCCAATATAATATCTTACGATAAAGTCCTCAGCTAGTTTTGATAGAGACGGAGTTAGCGAGATAGGTCTGATGTGCTTGGTAATTACAGTCACAGGTTTCGTCTTTGGTAGTGGTGTTACATTGGCGTACTTCCATGACAGAGGGAGGGATTGTTCAGCAAATGAACTGTTCAGGATAACACAGACTGGGTTCGCGAGAAACTCGGCATAATCTTTAAGGAGCCAGTTCGCCACGCCGTCTGGACCAGAGGCTTTTCGAGGATTTAGCCTGACTAATGATGAGTAAACTGAAGACTCATCAAGCGTTAGAACTTCCGAATCATTATCAACGGGAGGAAGACTGTCAAGTGATTGATATTCCTGCATCGGTTCTAGAAGGGCAGTATTTATAAGGTTGGCAATATCCTTATTTGACTTTCCATCAAGTCCATCAACATGTAATTGGGCGCGAATATTCTCGGTTGGCGTCGCTGGGATCATTCCCGATAAATTTTTAATCTCGTTCCACCACTGATTTGGCTTAACATTCATGAGGTTCGCAACCCTCGAGGTGTAATATCTGCTTCGGAGCACTTTGCGTTCATGGTTAACGATGTTGCGAAGTTGGCGGAATCGTTCTTGTTCTTTTTTGTAGGCTTTCTGGCGTAACTTGATGAGC